ACAGTCTCCGAGAATACCCTGTCAATCTCCCGCTCAACCTCTCGGATGCTACGCAGCCTACTAGCCTCCTCCCATAACTCCTTTATCTGGTGACGCAACTTGTCAACCACAGCACACCTCATGCAGGAGAGCTGACTGTCAGCCCAGGCCTCACGGAGAGGCCCCAGGCACTGCCTGCAGCCTGACACCTGCAGAGCTGCATCTGCTGTCGGAGGGTCTGTCTGGGTTGAAGCCTCAGACACAGCCGATGCAGCACCTCCAGCAGCCACTGGGGAACGTGCTCTGTGGCCTGTCATGACCATGCCCCGGGGAAGGACACACCACTGTGCAAAATGGAGAGGTGCCTTCTTTGCCTTCTGGCACCCTTCTGCACAAACTACTGCGTCTGTTCACTGCCTCTGTTAGCTGCACTCTGGGAGCTGCAGTCTAGGCCTGGCTCTTATATAGGCCTCTGCCTAGCAGTGACTCACAAGGGTGCTTGACCCACCCAATCAGGAGCCACCTGAAACAAAAGCCCCAACTCCCTCTGACCAGGGCAGCCCAGGGAGCTCGTTAGCAGCAGCCCCACCTGGCTAGAACTTCCCAGGAGAAGTGAAGTCAAGGTCCCCTGCAGGAGTCCTTGCCCAGCTCTCCCTTCCTGCTAGCAGCAAGCACCGTCTAGTTCCTCGGGGGTCCCCAGAAAGTCTCCACAACTTCCAACAAGGCCCACAAAAGGCCCAGGCAGAGCCCAGACACTGTCGTGCAAACTGCTGCGTCTGTTCGCTGCCTCTGTTGGCTGCGCTCATTGGTACAGACCCTGTTTCACACAGGGCAGATTTTCCCTACCTCTGTGGACTGTGCAGCAATGCAATCGCTTTACCAGTGACCAAAATACTGAGAGCACTGCACTATTTTTCCGCACGCTGTGAGAAGGACTGGCTAATGCTGACTGCCGTAGCCCCTAGAATGGGTTAATTAGAGGAAGCTTGCAGAAGATGCCAGACGCATAACCAAGCACCCACAAAAACCTCTCCTTGTTGGAATGCACCCCTGGAACCTCCCAGCCATAGCAAGAGGGTCCCTCCAGCAGGGAGAGGAGTCCTGGTAGCAAATGGTTTATTCTCTCTGCTGCTATTCGTCCCAGAGCTCCCGTATAAAGGGCCTTGACAATACTACTGTCACAGAAAATGTAAAATCAAGGGAAAAAAGACTCCAGCTACTCATGCTGTTTGCAGATAAATTAAACAAACCCAGAAAAGGTTGAGACAGCTGGAAATCTGACAGGAAAACTGGGCTTTCCAGGGAGAACTCTAGAGCCAATTTACAGTTAATTACTGTGATTTGGAACAGCTCTGTGAGTAAATACCACTCTCTGATTGTCCAAGTAAGGAAGATAATTGTTTCCTGAACTGTGGCCATTGTATATTTAAAACATTGTCAGCCCCTTCCTTTCTCAAACTCTGAAGAGATTTTGCTTTCAACAATGTGAATGTTACTTTTCTGTTAACAAGTAGCTAAAATACTAATGCTAAACATCATACCTGCCATGAACACAATTTATTGAGCTGCACAGCCGCATTTAGAAGCAGTTCTCCTAATGCTGCCGGATGATGCACGAGTTCCTGCCCTTACTAGCAGAGCAGCTCAGAGGACTGGACAGCCTAAACATACAGCAAGCACCATGCTGCCCGAAAAGCACATAGACCAGTACGGGCAGTAGGACTTTGGGCGGGGGGGGAGGACACATGGACAACCCCAATATTGCATCATCTTTTCTATTATCCTCTTCCAGGCAACTACAGGGAAAAGGCTTTTACATAGACTGTAGTAACATTTAACAAATATATATTGGTACACTTTTAAAAGGGCGAAACAAAAATGCAACAGGTGCAAGAGTGGTTTCTTAGGAAGCTCAAGTGTTACTGAAAAACGAGCTCACCTGAGTCCAGAGCAGGCACTGAGACTGACTGAAGAATCAGGGTACCCTCGTACATTGCCGTGGTAATAGCAGTGACCCTAAAGAAAAGAGAAGACATTTCAATAGCCATAAACTCTCTCAATACCTTGTTTTCTCATAATTTTCCATCCTCTTTATCTTAAAGCTGTTTTTAATTTGGGCTACAACATTCAGAACTAAACTGACAGCATCTTTCCTGCCTCCACTAAATATTCACCGTACTTAATAGCCTAAAGGATTCACTGTGCAAAAGCTGGGGTGTTTTAAAACCCCAGAGGGATTTTTTTAACAGGGTCAACAGTGTTTAAAATGCATGACTATGATAGCTCTAAATAACACAGTGAAAAAGGTTAAGTTACGGAATATTTTTAAAGTCAATAATCAGAACAAATCAACTGACACATTTTACTATTTCCTATAGACATATATATTTTTATAGAAGGTAATTTACATCTGTATATGTCTATAGGAGATAGCTATGTATAAAGGGAAGTAAAATAAAGCCAATCCCAACCCTCTAGTTTGAAAAAACTCACAGAGCAAATGAAGGGGAAGAGAAGCATGTTGGAAAGGAAACCTTTTATTGAATTACCCAACTGAGTGGCTGTATGTTATTAAGCACAACCAAGAATAAGAGGGTCTCCTATTTTAAGAGGCAACAATCCAATTTCATTTTGTGGCTAGGTTATTGTATTTCCTTAATAATCCACAGCTTGCAAAAGGCAACCACAACAGAGGTACTTTCTCAGCACATATACGTATCTGTCTGGAATCAAGGTTAATTTTGTTGTTGACTAAAGGTTATATTACATTCCCAACTATGTGACTGGCGGGAAAGTAATGATTGTGTCATGTCCAGCATTTCTTTTCTCATGGCTCCTTTGAATGCCACCTGGAAATTGAAAACACTATTGTAAAAGGTTGCTGTCTTATTAGTGCTCATGCTTCAACCTGACAGTCACCTCACTGTGCCTTTTTATTGCTCGGTTCATTCACATCTATCTAGCTGCATTAATTAACCTTTTCAGTGTTGGGGCATGGTTTTCAGTTACAAAGCCTCACATAAAAGATTTCTATGGACCACCTTGATTTTGTTAATGAAAGCAATAACCATGAAAAAGCTGGGGCAGGGTGGAATAATTCAGATATGAATTTTCTGCAGATGAGACTGTACCATGAAAAATACTTGTTGAGAGCATTTTTTATTTCCAACATGAGCAACTAAACACAGAACAGCAACATCTGATATTCTAAATACAACTCAATAGCTGTTCTCAGTGAATGGACTGACAGAAACAGGGTAACGGTGTTTTACCTTTGGGTATTTTTATCATCTGTGCACATAAAGGTCAAGTAACACATTAGCAAGGACAAAGTCACAACAAAAGGGAGACAATCATAGCCTGAATTTTCTTGGGATGAGTGCTCCAGTCACAATGGCTATGGACATCTAAGTTTTCAGCATGAGTATGCTACTTAATTTTATTTTAATATTAGCAGTTACAGTCATTTAGTTGGTAACAAAGAAAAAAATTACACCCCCCCAAGTAAACAAACTGCATCTCATACAATGACACTGATACAGCCTAAAAATATAAATACAGTAGGTTTACTTATACCACTTAAAGTAAGGATATGGCAGAAAGGCGGATCAGAGTTTTTAAGAAGCCCGTTCAGGTGTTTAATTCCAATGGTGTTAACCAAAGCACTTTGCAAGTACTTTGGAAACAGGAAGGGCGATCTCACATCCAGCAGCAGGCTGGTTGCTGCTGAAGTGCAGCTGTCTTTATCAAAGAGTGAACTATGGCAAAGACTCTGATTTCTTCCCGTCTCCACACACAACCTGTCATTTTTATTAACCCTGAGCACCTTGCGGTAGCCCCTTCTGCAGCTTCGCAGAGATCCACACGCAGTGCGATGCCAAAGTTCCCTCAAGTTCAGCACCCCAACGGGCAAACTTATCGCAGCGTGTCCTGCAACGGGACTGGCAGGAAACTGATTTTTAGCTCAGTAAGTCCACCGCACCACAGGATTTTTTTTCGCCTATCAAAAGCTTTTTATTCTCATAAGCTAGTATGTAAAAGGGATGAAAGCAAATGCTAAAAACAAATAATGACTATGGCTGATTTGTCACACTTAAAACAGCACTCTAGCCTTATTGCAGATCATCAAGCAATGATTAATCTGTGGACAGCTTTTGAGAAATTTTTCACGTGTTACAAGCAGAAAAATAACCTGGATATCTCCCACCTGACATTAACACGCGCGTTAACTGCAACTGCCCAAACCTGACTTGGCACCCACTTCCAAGCACAATTTGAATAAGCAGTTTTACAGTGGGAACTTGGGTTTGATTTCAACTACAGACTACATTCATGTCCTTGGTGAAAAAGACATATACAAATAAAACCACAGAGACTTATCTTCTCTAAACAATATTGCAGTATTTGATCAAAAATGAATTCACTGGTCTCCAAAAAAAAAATCTCTTAGGCAACAAAACGTTAGCATTATTCATGACTTACTGCTGTTACCAAAATAGATGTTTTCTTTTTTTTTGAGAGAAAGCCTGGTCTACCATTAGAAGTAAACATAGTCATGATTAAGCTGACAAAGAGCTCTGTGCATTGTTCCTCTTCTTTTACTTCCTTAAGGAGTCTATGCAGTCTTCCTGTCCCTAAAGTGAAGGACTATTTTTTTACTGCACCAGCTGGGAACAAGATATGACCATCCAGCAACAGGAAAACACTGAAAACTTTCACAAGTTATTGCTTCGCTTAGGGGGTCCAGAGTTTTAACAAAGACGCTTCTTCAGAGTTAAGATGCTATGCATAGAAATATGCCTTTCACTGACATCAGCAAAGCCCATTATGGATGGGAACATGAAGCACGATGCCTCCACTGGCGCAGTCAATAAATAAATAACGCAAGATAACAAATACTCCACAGGAGCTGGAACTACTTAGGCAGATAAAAGATAAACTTTGCAATTTAAGTCACTTGCTGCATTGTTTCTAATTAAGGCATTCATACTGTCAGAGGACAAAAACTTTAGTGCATTAAAGTGTTTTTATTTATAAAAAGCAGTTTACATTATTTATCATAAAAAGCATTTTGTGCTGATTTTAACAAGGAGCACATTAGCCAGGGAGATAGAGATATATATACACACACATACATACATGCATGTGTATATGTGTGTGTGTTTGTGTGTGTATATATATATTTTTATATATGTATATGTATATATGAAATAGTCCTATGGTGTGTTTTAAAAAATAAATCCAAACAAACAGCCCCCTCCCCCAAAGCTCAGCCAAGGCTTCTGCAATGCAGAAAGCCACCCATGCCGTTAAATCCTCTGATGTGAGCTTCTGCACTACAGAAATCAGATATTTCTTTCTAACTGAACTAGGACTTCCCTCCTTAACTGTTCACCAATGGCTGCTTGCAACTTATTATAAAATTTTAATGGGTATGTTTCCAAGAAGCTGAATAAATCTTACAGATTTTAACAGCCACCTGGTTAAAACCCCACAGCTTCCCTTTAAAGTCTCTCCCTATAAATTCATGTGTAGAATCACAGCAGTCCAAAAGGTACCAAAGGCAACAATAAGAGAAGATCACACATTTAGCTCTCTCATCCTGTGGCTCAGATCCTGGCAGAGAGCACCCTGGGTTTTAACGATGAAGCATCACCTACCCCACGAAACATCAACCTTACCGTGTAATTGCGCGAGAGAACCACATCAGTGCCATCTTTCAAATAGTGTGTTTCTGTGAAGCTGCTGGCTAACAGGCCCCTAAAAAGAAAATAGAGCACGCATTTAATGTTAGGCCACATCACCTTGACTTTGTCCTTTCATGCTTCCATTTGAGATAGCAATAAAAGTTTGACATTAATGATACAGTGACTACCAGAACTGTGTGTGAAATAATGGAAAATACAACTCCAAATATTGAAGTTCTACCACGTAAGCCCTTTCTTCATTAATTGCAAAAAGACTACAAGCTTGTGCAGACTGTTTTCTCTTCCAAATGAGGGCTGTATGTCAGCACATCTCAGTATTGACTCTTCCATGTAATTTTCAACACATTTCATACTAAATCTGAAATCAAGACATTGTTAAGTAATGGTGGTTTTGGAAAAGGAAAACGTTTTCCCTGCATTACTCATTTCACTATATAATGTGCTGTACTCATCAGCAAGTGACCACCCAAAGACTAGTTTAGTTCAAGCAAATGAAACAAACTTCTTCTGTCAACATTCAAGGAAAAACACTCAATAAAAATTACAGGAATTGGACTATTGGATTTATCCTGACTTCCTGAAAAGGATATTCAGGAATGGAGCTTTAATGAGCCAAACTGATACATCAGGAGATGGTGAGAGACCATGTCCACGATGAGATATTTTGTTCTCGTTCACTCCACACCTCCCCTCCTAGCTTGGCAACAACACCAAGAATTTTGACCTGCTATTCCAGGTTTCCGGAAGCATCCAGAGAAGAGCTTGTGTGTGATAATTACGTAAAATTTCCCCATGTAGCAAACTCATGGAATGGGGAAAGCGGCCTCTGCTCATTCTCTTTAAAGCCTTGCTAGTGATCTATTTCTCGGTTCCTTACCTAAAAGCATTTCTAACAAGGTCAGAGGCAAGAATAAATACTTACACTGACTCTCAGCATAGGTGAGAGTCTGTAAGCTATAGCTCTCAACACAAATGTGCTTGATTTTGACCAACCTTTTAGTGAAAATGCAAAAGCACTATATAGAACAAATCAAAACTAAATGTCACTGTCGCCCCCTGTGAATTGCAGAATTCAGACTACTGAAAATCTTTGGCATAGGTTTTCAAAATGTTCTGCTCCATTTCAGAGACACTTTTCTCCTTTGAGATGTTCATTTGAATAGACCAGGCCCTTTCTTTTTAAGTATGCTGAATGTTGTACTCTTGCATATATACTGTGTGAACTAGTGAAGTCTCAGTACATATTTCTTGCACTGTGTATGAACGTTAACACCAGAACATGAACAAACATTTCATTTTCATTACTGTCATGGTTTATTTGCATTACATTAACATCCAACAGCTCAGTCAAGATCAGGTCCTCGTTGTGCTATGAAGTGGATATACACTTATGGGAGAGAGAACCCATCCCAAAAAGCCCATATCTTAAGGTAGAAGAGAAAAAAGGTGAATGAAACAAGGCAAAACAAAGAAGGAAATGGCAAAGAAAAAAAACAAAGATAGCAAAAACCAGTACAATAGGTATTCAAGCATAGGTTCTCACTTGACATTTTCCAGCTTGTAGGAAATACTAGCATATTAACAGGTATCAAATGTTAAAACACAGCAATGTTTGGTGAGTTGTACAAGAACTGCTCTGGATCTTAGCCATCCACCATACCTAGAGCAGGATTTGGTTGACTAAACAAGCCTTTAGTATCAATTCAGATGCCCTAGATATTCCACCAACCAGCTCTGTACGGACATCCCAAATACCCGATGGTGTCTCGGATGGCTCTTGGCATCTGTGTTTATCTCACCCTCTGGAAAGCCTGCCTGAAATACAGTGTGCTGTACCTACATTCCCATACTGCCATTCTCATTCTGACAAAGAGCAGCTGCTTTCTTAATTATAATTATTATTTATGTAACAACCCTGCTAAGGTCTGTGCTTAGCACGGGTTCATGACCTTTGTAAAGGCAAAAGGAAAGATCCCATTGCTGCTGAAGCTGGCAGAATTTTGCTGTGCACTTATTTGGAGATGGGATTTCACTTAGGATACCAGAGCAATTTGTATTTAATGGGACAAAATACAGGCAAAGGGATAGGGTAACAGATGTAGGATAAGGGCGAAGTGATTGAGCAATAAATTTGGTTTGTGTTCTGCTATTTCCAAAGTGGTTGACAACAGTGATGACAAAGGTGACCTTTCTGCTTCTGTTAGTTCTACCCTTAGGCACAAGTTTAGAAAATATTTCATAGATTCATGGATTTTAATGCCAGAAGGGAGCACTGTGATCAGCAATCTGACCTCCCACATTACATAGGTCATTTGACTTGATTAATCCCTGCTCCTAGTACAATAACTATGGTGGAAGAAGATTGTTCATTTTCTTAGTACATAGAGCTCTTGTCTAGATTTCCCATGATGAAGAAACTACCACAAGCCTGGTGCGCTTTAAACCGTTGACAACACCCAATGCAAAAACACTGCACTTCACATCCAGCTTGAACTTGTCAATGTTCAGTTTCCAGCCATGGGGTCTTATTCCTTTACATCAATGCTTCATTTGCTTTTGTGTCTTTCAAGGATACTTCTAGTTACTAAACAGGAAATACAGGAGGTAAACAAATTCCCAGTGCTGCTATCAGCAGTTCCCCTAGCCAGCATGTTCCATCAGGATAAAGGTTTTTATCTAGCTTGACAAAAATACCAGCTGAACAGAAGGATTCCTAGTGAGGCAAAGGGAGGGCTGGCTAAGTTTGCAAAGATGATGGAGTCCCACTGTTGGACCAACCCCAATAAAGTAAAAAGTATGCCCTCATGTAGCAGCCAAAGTAGGTTCGAATCATGGAAATTTCATGTACAGCTGACGGGCCTCTAGAACATGAGAAAGTTTTTCAGGAATCTGTATTAATGCTCTTTCAGTTTAGTAACTAGGACATTATTGCTAAGGCCTCTGTTTGCTTTTCCACCACGTACGGTGCTGGTACTAGTCTGAGAGCAAGCCGGAGGAAGACATGCTGCCAGCGAGTCAAACAATGCCTGGCAGGGAAAGAAGCTGCTGTCCCACTTTCAAAATGACTAATATCTTAAAAGCTATGCAGCAGAATAAACATGTAGCATTAGTATCTGGGAATGGCAAGACATGTAAAGGCATTTCTTGAAAGGTTACCAAAACTAAGTGCAACAAGCACTCCAATTCCACAACCAGGAGTGGTGCACTTGAATTTCTAATTATGGCAGGAATGTTTAACATATTGAACAACAAATTCAACATATGTATCTGTTAGGTAATTTAATTGCCTCCTTCCAAAAGATGCATAATGTAATAAATTGATTTACATTTCTGTTTCTGACTCACAGCAAAGGAGATTAATAGATGAAAGTAAATTAATTTGGATGGCAAGCTACTTAACCTAATTGGATCAATGTAATTTTTAAAGAGCAGGGATCAAAATAACATTAATATATCATAGTGCAATTCATCACCACGTCTAGAGTTTCAAATACCGTCAGCTACAGTGCTCAGCAGTGCCAGACCATTATCAATTTTTTGTATGGCATGAAGAAGTGGAAATAAATGCCATCAGGAACTGCATCAACCGCTGGATAGGATTAAAAAAAATCAGTTAAAGCAACATCACAATTTTCTAATTAATTCTTTGAAGATGCAAAAGCAGGATTCTTGAGCTAAATTACTTATTTTTTCAGACACTGCGTTTGCCCGTACCATAGATCTGCCCACGTTTCCCAGAGTTGAACTAACACGTAGACGCTTCTAAGGCCCAGGATGACAAATTTTACCCATACTGATCTACGACAGGTACAGCACCGGCTTCCTTCTCTGCTGTAAATCAGTACAAAACTTACCTGTCAAATTTGCTGAAACATTTTCAGGTGTCAAACAGCTTCCGCTCACCTAAGCCCCAGGGAATACGATGAACAGTATTTAAACTTCTAACCCTTCCCTTCCCACTCCCCCCCGCCATGATGCAGAGTCTTGGGTGGTTTGCTTGGGAGGGGGGAAATATCCTGTTTTAAATATACCAGACTCTTTACTCAATCCACTTAATAACAGGAATGGTAATTTAACATTGTGTGCGTCTTACTCACAAATGAGAAAATCACTCTGTCTTCTCCAAGCACCAATATATTATTTCAAAAGGTTATAATGATACTTCATCACCCAGGGGGTGTCAGAACAGCGGAGTCACAGACATTAGAGATGGGAAAAATCTAGTGGATCACACAGACTGCCTCCCTGAAAGCCAAGTACGCTGTAGGTCAAATTAGTTTTGCCTCCTCTAGTTTCAAATGTCAAAAGCAGTGCTGAGTCCACCACGTTCAAAGGGAGATTACTTTGCGTTCTAACAGATGTTACTGTCGCGATGCATCTCCCAATATTCACTTCTAGTTACGCTTCTTTTATTAGCTGAAACAATTATTTTTTCTTCTTGGTACATAGATCATTCAAATGGGTGCAAATTATTATCAAATTCTCCCTTAACCAACCACTTGCCAAGTACAGCATATCAGACTATAAAAATGATAAGAACTGGGTACTTTTCAAGCTGGTGCTACTCAGGAAAAACTTAGGCATTATCACAGCAGGAGCAGACAACAGAGTTTCCCTCTGTGATGTAGGAGAAGGTAGTAGGCAATAGGCTAAGGAGTATATCTCTTCCTAAGAGCACCAACACATGGGTCTGTTTTTTGCTCTTTTAGGATGAAGCTTGTTTTGGCTGCCCACCCTACTCCAGGACATCCCCCCTGCAATGCAGGTATAAGGAGAATGACACTAACTTTGTTATGGATCAACACCGATCTACAGGCAGTGGGATCTGTCTCTCAAAGCTGTTTGGTGAGACTGGAGTGGCACACAGCAGCGGGGATTTAGCAGTGTTGCTTTAAAGCCAGATGAGATGATGTCTGGATGGCCTGGCACACATTTCCTGCAAGTCCTGGGCGCAGCACGGCCCATCGTTATAAATTTCCAAAGGAACGTGCCTTGCCCTGGCACGGCCGCAACAAAAACTTGGCCTCTGCTTCAGTGAGGAATCAAGGGTGG